AACTAACCCTGAGGAACACCTAAAACATGTTTCCTTCAGGTGATGAGGTGAACTAACCCTGAGGAACACCTAAAACGTGTTTCCTTCAGGTGATGAGGTGAACTAACCCTGAGGAACACCTAAAACGTGTTTCCTTCAGGTGGTGAGGTGAACCAACCCTGAGGAACACCTAAAACGTGTTTCCTTCAGGCGATGAGATGAACCAACCCTGAGGAACACCTAAAACGTGTTTCCTTCAGGCGATGAGATGAACTGACTCTGAGGAACACCTAAAACATGTTTCCTTCAGGTGATGAGATGAACTGACTCTGAGGAACACTCACAGAACAAACTCGTGGATGAACGTCCAGAAGTAACAGAGAAGCTGTGGCCTGAATCTCAGCGGTGTGGTCTGAAAGTGCATGCTTGTCACTCAGACAGCAGCTAGTTGAGGCCGCTGGCGGCTCTGACGCATGTGGACTGATGGGCTGAGAGCGAGAGGGGGGAGAGGTGGTGGTTGGGGTGGGGGGACAACTTGGACCAGCCACCGATCAGCTGAAGGTAAAACTAAAGAGGAATGGCGGGATGAGGAGGGAGGACGTGTGGATCCTCTGACAAAAGCTTCTCGAGCCTTGTCATGGGGGATCAGTCCTGAGCATCAGCCCCTCCACCTACACATGACCCCCCTCCCCCCACCTCCACAAAACCTCAGTCCCATTCTAAATAATTCACTCTGCAGCCATTCCCTTCCACCTGAGGGGCTTGTCTCCTGGCGTCACCAGCGGGATGATTTAACAGCTCCCGAAAGGTCACGTTTATTTATTTATTTTTACCCTCCCCTCCTCAGCACCCACCAATCCACGCACAGACACAACCACACACACATTCGCCCAACATAATCCCTGCCACCAGTTTGATCTGCGGGTAGCACTCGCCGGTGGCCCCCGTGGGCCGAGGCTCTTCGTTGTTTACCTATAAATACTCTGCTCTCTTGATCTGACAAGTTAGGCCGCTCTCCTCGAGGGCACCTTCCACAAGGGCATCTATTCTCACATATAGAGCAGAGGTGGACACATCGATACACAGGCAGACACACTCACATGAGCACAGCACAAACACACACTCCACTCACACTAAGAGCGTTCCCAGGTTCAAACCGTGTCCTCTTTTTTAACTGTAACAGAAAAGATTGATTTTTATTCTGGGATTAATGGAGTGTTCATCGTTACAAGGTTGAAGTGACCGATGTCACAGTCTCATCTGTGCCACAGAAACATCTTCAAGTGGAAGCAGCCTCACGTTTGCGTGTTTGTTAATACTTTTCTTCTGTATTTGCTGAGTTACAGCAGTTTTCTCCTCTTTTATTAAAAGTCTTAAAGAAACAACAACCACATAGGAAACAGCGTTGTTTGAGAACTGTAAAAAAAGTATGACTAAACCTTCACAGGCAGCTTCACAGAGATCTGTTCATCCGTTAGTTTTGTTCTGACCCGTGATGTCTCTGAAGGGATCACCGGCAGCAACGTCTGGAGATTCTCACCAGCTCGTCTCGTTTGAAGCCTGACACTGATTGTAGCGTCATTCAGACACACCAACTCAGCAGGAAACCTTCAGAACATTCTGTGCACCACCGGAGCAAGCTGCTACATTTCATAGTAACAAAATACAAAAAGTGGTTCAATGCATGATTCAGTCTGAGGAGGCGATTTTAAAATGGTCCTAAATCTATTTAAAAACCAAGTAGGCATCCATTAAAAGATCTGGTAGTCATAGGACAGAAGATGTTCACATGTGCAACACGTGGTCTATTTTATTTCCATCTTTATGATCTTAAAGTGATGACAGTTGCTCTGGTGATGGACCGACTAACAGACGAGGTCAGGCAGGAATCCCCGTGGACTATGATGTTTGTAGATGACATTGTGATCTGTGGTGAGAACAGGGAACAGGTGGAAGAGAACTCGGAGAGGTGGAGGTATGCATTTGAAAGAAGAGGAATGAAAGTCAGCCGTAGTAAGACAGAGTCCATGTGTGAATGAGAGGGAGGAGGTGGAACAGTGAGGCTACAAGGAACAGAGGTCACAAAGGTGCAGGACTTCAAGGACTTGGGGTCCACTGTCCAGGAACATGGAGAGTGTGGTGAAGAGGTGAAGAAGAGAGTCCAGGCAGGATGAAGTGATGGAGAAAAGTTTCAGGAGTGATTTGTGACAAAAGGGTGTCAGCAAAGATCAAAGTAAAAGTTTACAAGACAGTGGTGAGACCAGCTATGTTGTATGGTCTGGAGACAGAGACATGGACAA